CCCAGCATCATGCAACAGCACGCAACAGCCCTTGCCACGCACTTGCACATCAACATCATGGCATGGCCCCTGTGCGCACCATAGGCAGCCTACATGCGGGCTACTGGGCAGCCCGGCTTGCCTTGGTGACGCTTGGGGTCTTGCCTTGATTTGCGTGCATTTTTCTCGGGATTTTTATCCCGATTTACGTGCGACGTAAAATTAATCTAAATTTATTTTTAGTATTAACTTAGGGCAAAATTATAATAAAATAAGTCCAACTTAATTAATTTCAATTTTGATGGTGCACAAGCCTAATTTTGCAAAATTTCCTTTTGAAATAATTTATGTCTTCCTTTATGCTTAAAATTGAAAGAGCTATGTCCATAATTAATTTAACCGATATGCAAATTAATAATGGATTTGACAAAAAAGAGAGTTTGAAAAATAGATTAATCATCTAATGATAAAATTTTCCAACTTTTATACTTGTGTAAAATAACAAGATTACATCTTCCAATATGAAGATTAATCAACATTTACTCATAAGCATTTGAACTCCAAGGATTTCAATCAACCAAATATGAAAAATCCAAAATTAGTTCAACATGGAATTTAGGGTTAAAGTTCCAATCATTTAAACATTTAAAGATTAGATCTTTAACATACTAGGAACTTAAAATTACATATTCACAACAAGTATTCACACACTAATGCAATTTATTTGCATAATTGTGAAAAACAAGTTTATGTGAAAAAGAACATATCAACTTAAGCACATATTATAACTCCATAATCATGCTTAAAAGATACTTAAATTGCAGTAGATTAGGGATGCAATAATGCATTTAATCTACCCTTGACATGCTTGCATTAATCAAGGCATAAAAGATTTAAAATTTTCATTGAAAACGAAAAAACCGTCAAAAAAATGGGTTTCTGGTTCGAATTTGGCTTCTAGACAGTTCTTAAAAAGGGTTTTAACTGATTTAGAATATCAATTTCACCCAAAAAACACTATTTTTGAGCCAAAATTTGGGTTTGAAAGCCAAAACGAGAAAATACGAGTTTTAAAATTAATTAAAACGACCTTCTAATCCAATTAGAAAAGCAAAACAAGAATTTAAATCTACTTTAAAACACCTTAATTAATAAATAATTGCAATAACTAAAAGGAGCGCGGCTCCGATACCGTTGTAGGGTTTCGTAGTGACCCTCAATACGCGGAAAGAAACCCCCCAAAATCCCGCCACGATAACTAAAGCAATTAAAGCATGCAAACACAATTAATACATAATTAAAAGAAAAAGGGATAAACAATTATACCCTAGACGCGTGCTTCGCTCGCAAATCGAGCTCTTACTTCGAAAGCTCGAGCGTCACAATCGTGACCGCCTCCAACGGCCCGTACCCATGAACCCGACCTGAACAGTCCAAGTCCCGAAGGTTAGTCGGGACCCGACCAATAAAAACTGGAGTTTTACGAACTTAGAGGTTTTCTCACCTTAAGGGAGATGCTGCATTGAGTTCTACGCAAGTGTTCTTCCCAAATGCAGATACCTTGGTATTTATAGGGAAATGAACCCTTGAACTCCCACTCTTGATCAATGTGGGAGATTGGCAACTTTTCCATTTTATTTTAATTAAAAACAAAATAAAATTGCAATGCAATCAATGAGTTACAAGTGGCAAATGGAGGAAGAGTGATTAGGTGAGGACCATTCCATGAGGAGGGACCATAGCCTTGGTGCCCAAGGCAATGGCCACAACCCTTAGTCCCCACACACAACCAGATCCTCCATGTGGCTGGGACAGCTGGCTGCCAGCCAGCCTTGGCAGCCAAGGCAGCCTTCCTGGCACCTAGCGCCTTGGCTGTGCTTGCAAGCCAGCACTGCTATCACATAGCGCAGCCAGTTAGCAAGCATCCCACCCACTACCAGCATGCGTGCTTCTAGCGAGCCACGCATGCTGGGCGCCGCATTGCTACGCACACGCACAAGCACGCTGCTGCTCGGTGTTGTGCTAGCGATGCATACGCACACGCACATGCAGCGATGGTGCATGGTCCTGTGCTAGCAACGCATACGCACATGCACACACACACGCACATGCTGCCATGGTGCGATAAGCAATGCTAGGCCTTTCCTAACGCCAGCGCCAGCGCCTAGCATATCCACACGCACATGCAATGTTGTGATGGTGCTTGGGGGCATGGCCTGCTAGCACGCAACGGCCTAGCACGCCTAGCATGCTAGGCTTGCGATGGATCTCGCCTAGCCTAGTACTCACATGGCTAGGCCAATGCGAGGCTACGACTAGGTTCGTATTTGTAACTTGATTGATTTCGCATCTCGTCAAATTCTAAATTCGACTCGACCTGCGACGCTCTAAGCTCGATATCTGACGTCTTTGTTCGTAAAACTCCGACGACTCATCAAATCCTTCGGATTGATTCGCTGTCTCGGATCGGGTTTTCGATTGGGTTCATCCTGAAGGGTTCAGTCAAGATCAAGCGATAATATTAATTATACATTAATATTACTGATCGGAAGCGGCCTCCACCTAGGCATTCCGATCACTTGACCTTACTGAAGAATTAGCTTTCCGATAATTCTGAACCCTTTATCGGAATAATACACTTGTTGGAAGGACACCATTCCTTTCAAGAAGATGAGAATACCAAGGACCACGTAAGTCTTCTATGCCGGATACTTGTCTAAGGTGTGTAAACACTTTCCTACAGTGATTATTTCCCCCACCACGGTGCTTGGGTTGAAACCGGAAAGTTACTTTGAGATACAACAGACAAACACTACAATCTTTACACTAGAATTGTAGTAAGATGATCAAATTCTCAAAATTAACTTAATTGATAGAGTATTTCAAGAAGAGATTGCAAGTTTCTTAATGAAATTGTGAAGAAGAGTGAAATATTGGAGAAGAAAAATCAGAGAGAGCCAAAACCAGAAACCAACTTCTTTTAATTTTACCAATTAAAAGAATGTACGAAAACCGCAACTGCCAGAAAAAACCGCTGAACAGGGAGGAGCGGGCGCTCCTCACGACCCCATGGGCGTGGTAATTCAACTCGCGGGCCCAGGCTTTCCGTGGCTTTCCAGCCGCGACCTCTTCATTCCAAGGAGAGGGATTTCTTCTACCACACTCTAAATTTATAATAGTTAACTATTAAAATTTAAGACTGTGACACAACCACATGTCGCCCCAAAGTGGCACAATTGGTATTTATGGTCTGGATCAGGTAAAACCGGTCCTCACTCAAAGGTACTACAACCGGTCAAAGGTCACTTGTTTCCTATCAATCGCTTAAGAATGATTACCCTAAGGGTAAAAAACAGTCAGATAAGCGACGGGCATAAGCAAGTACCGTCTGCTATTCCTACTTGGGCCAATTTAGCTTCTTTCGAAATGGTCAAGGGACCGCCTGTTTTTTCTCCGGATACTCGTTTGGACGGCTACATGCTTAAGTAAGGCAACTACCAAGCACACAACCGTCATGGGGCTGGTGACGCTCATACATCCAGCATACTGCATGCACACTAGAAATGCAAAAACTAAATTCAAAAATTGAATTTACAAAAAATTGAAGCAAAATGGCAAAAATTGAAATTGAAAGGTATTGATAGAAATAAAGCCGATTCAGCCGACAAATGTATATATATGTATATATATTTATATATGTATATATATGTGTATATATATATATGCATATATATACATATATATATATACATATATACATATATACACATATATATACATATATATATACATATATATGTATATATATATAACTGGGTTAGCGTGAGAACTAGCCGAATAATACGAACTAAGAACTAATCTGGACCGTCAGATCTAAGGGAAGAGGCGCGCGATCTAACGGCCCAAATTCATTCAGACAAATTAAATAAGGCACGAAATTTCAAGCGCCATTTTCTATATCTTCTCTCTCTTTCCTTTGAAAAACCACCAATACCGCCGTTTTTTACTGCTTAATTACAATATGTAATCACAATTCAAGTTCTATCATCTACATTTCTTAAGTTTTGGAACAAAAATCGCGAAACTTAGCAATAATTGGCGAAAATTAGGTATTACTTCAAAACTTTGAAGTTCATACCCTTTCTTCTAATTTTATGGCAATTTCTTACTTATTTTTGTGTTTTTTTCTTGAATTTATTGAATTTGAAGTAGCAGAAGTTGAATCGGAGTAGTTCGATGTTCAATTTTTGTGTTTCGAAGTTCAATATGCTTGATATTCAGGTACTTTCGGAATTTTTTTTGTTTTTGTCCAATTTCGTTTGATTTACTTTTAATTTCAAGTTAAATTTGTTGTAATTTAGTTTACAATTGATTAGAAGTTTCATTGAAGTTGAATCAAAAGGTTTATTTATTTATTAATTTTTTTGATGAATTTTGCCATAAATTTAGATCAGCTTTTTTTTACAAATTTGGTAATAAATTTATATCTAATTTTTTTTAAAGAATTTTTGTAAAAATTTATAACTTTTTATTTTTACGAATTTGAGTAATTTTGGTTCTATTGCTACTAATTTCGAGTAATTTTAGTTAATTTTTGAGTAGTTGTTGATAATAGTTAAAAGAAATCAAATATAAGTTAATATAAAATAATTTAAAGTGAATAAAATAAAATCATTAATTTGGAGTATTTTCCTTTGAGTTTCAGTAGTTTCCTTTAATTTTGAGTGGTTTATTTTTACAAGTAGATAGAAATTGGCTAAAAGTAACTTTAAATTGATTAAAAGTTAATGAATTACTATATATTTGTAGCTATTATGGCTTGAGTATAAATCAAGAATTGATGTGGTTGAAATGAGGAATGGATTTTTGTTTCGAAATGTTGCATGTATAGAAATCATTTGTTGTTGTTATTATAATAACAAGAGTTGATTTAAAAGTATATATATCAGGCAATATAAAACCATCAAGTATAAATCGAGAAAGTGTGATTCATTTTCGTTTTAAATTGCATGCAAATTAAAATGACAAAAAGTTCAAAGAAAAATGTTACAAAAAAACCTCCAACACAACCTGATGTAGCAAAGAAACCTCCAAAGGAAGATCCTACAGGGAAAAGAGATCATGGAGCAAATAAAGCTCCTGCAGCACAAAAGATATCGCTAAAGAAACCTGCAAATTCAAATAAATCTCCAATTAAAGGTATATTATATTGAATTAAAAGATTCAATTTATAAAGTAAATAGAAACAGTTAAAAAGTAACCCATTTGCCTTTATAAGTCTATGTTATCAACATAAATATTATGATGCATAAAATTACATAATTGAATATAAAAAGTAAATGATAAGCTTAATAAATTAAATAAAAATGCTTATAAAGTAACTATATATGTTTTTAAAGTTGTTTAACATGTTTTGTATTTATATATTCCTTGTATTAAAAGAAACTCATTGTTAAAGTTAACTGTATTAGGTGCAGGATTTCAAAAACCAAGTACTGATAAAGAGAAGGCTTAAGGAACTAGAACCTTCAGAAGGTTTATAAAAGTTTATTGTATTAGGTTCTAAAGTTAGACTGATATGTTGTGAATTAGGTTGTTTGTTCTTGAATATTTTAATTTTAAAAGTAAATGTTTTAATATCTTCTAGTTTAACAAAATATAGGAACTAAAAAAAGAACAAAAGCTGAAGTTAAAGATAGCAATTACGAACCAAAACAAGATAACAATGAAGAATTGAATCTGATGATCATCAGAAGAAGACAAAAAAAATACAAAAGCTCATTTAAAGAAGAAAATGAAGCTTGACAGTTTAGATAAGGAGGTACAACAAGTTATATAGGTTAAAGAAGGAAGTGACAATGATGATGGCTATCTGGACATCAAGAAAACACACTGCAAACACAATGAAGTATTTTATATTATCAAGGACTTTAGTGAGAGACAAAAATCAGATGATATGACAAAGATGCTTCCATGGCTTTGTCATCATTTCAATGAAAAAAGTTGTATACTCAAGATTGACATGATGAAGGAGTTCTCTGTAAGTTCCTATGATGTTCAAATGTTTTCTTGCTTGCAAATGTAACAGAGAACAAGTTGACTTAATAGTTAAGGAAGCAACCTATAGCAAACATCATGATTCAGAATAAGTGGAAGAAGAAGCTAGGTATTGCAGAAAGCGATGAAATCTTTGTGAATAATCTAGAGAACAAAATAAAGAGTCTAAAGGAAGGAGGTGATGATTTTAAAAGGTTCTTTGTGATGTATGTTTGTAGCACATTCTTGGCCCGCTTGCAAACAGAGTGATAGATTATAAGATAACCAGCTATGCAGACAACGTAAAAGAAATACGTAACTTGGATTGGTGTGGTTATGTACTCAATAACTTGTGAAAAGTAGTGGGGAGCTTCAAGAAAAACAAGCATAAGGAATCAAGAACAAATCAGTGGATGTGTCCTGATTCTTTTGATTGTGTACTTTCATCACCTTTCATTTTAAGGGTAGCCTGAACCAACAACATTGCCCTTAATCAAACATTGGACAGATGAGAAAGTAAGAAAAAGAATTGCAATTGAAGAAAAAACATCATTTGGTCGAGGAGAAATCAAGAAAGATGTAAATCTGGTTTGTAGAAAATGAGGTCAACAATCATACTTAGGTGATGTTATTGAGACTGCATATAGGAATTTTGCTAATAGAGAGAGAAGATTAGTCTCTTTTAACCTTCCAGATGGTGTTATGATAGATAGTGAAATACATGAGGCTGCACATGATGTGAGTATTTTTTCTAGCTTGCAATGATTTCTTGTTTATTGACTTGTTAGGTTTTTTTGTGTTTACTTTTTGTACTATTCTATTTACTTTAAATTTAAATGCCTTTACTTTGATCTCATTCTTTTCTTTGGGAGTTTGATCTATTATTATTTCGTTTTGAATATGTACTTTGGTATGTATTTTGCTTTTCTTTGGCAGCTAGTGCTGCTGCTGCTGCCTTGCCAAGGTTGCTACTGCTGCAATTGTTGCCCTACCAAGGCTGATACTGCTGCAGCTGGTTCCCTGCCAAGGCTGCTGCTACAGCTGCTGCTATGCTACTTCTGCTATGCCGCCTGCTGTTGCAATGCTACTTCTACTCTGCCTCCTGTTGCTGCTATACTACATTTGCTAGAACATTGCTGCTTGCTATGTGTTTGTTAAATTTTAAGTAAAATTGCATATAAGATTATTTAAGTGATAACCTTGTATAGTATGGTATAACCAGTAGCTTGCTTGTAGGAATTAGAATTAGATACTGATAAATCCAAATTTACTATGGATATTAGTCACAATTTCATATTTTATATTTATTTGTTCTGCTACTAGTAGTAATAATGTTTAGTAAATGACAAACTAAAAAGTAAATAAAATACACTACAAAGTGAACAAATTATCTTTAAAAGTAAATAGTATCATCAAAAGTATTGTAAAAACAAAATTTTGTTATTTATTTGAAGGAAGTTGAATAAGATCTTCTTTTATTGGCTAGAGATTCAACACTCTTTTCAATGTTACATGCCGAGCGTATAAGCTGCATAACACACAGGATTTAAAAGAATCAATCAAGTGTGTCTACATCGAAATCTCAACTATTTTCTACAACACAAAGGCTGATAGAAGACCTTAGAGTGCAAAGGGTTATTGATGAAATAGTGAGGATTTACGATGATTTGAGAGATGTATCTAATGTATTTCTATCAACATGGGAGGAGCAGCATAAAAATCCTGAAGCTATTCCCGATTATGATGGAGATAATAAGAGGATGCAGATGATCCTTCAAATTTTATACATAATGCTATTATTTTGGATGATGAAATTGAAGATTACGAAAAAAGGAGGAAAAGGAAGAGGACAAAAAGGAAGAGGAGAAGGATGAAAACAAAGAGGAGAAAAAGAAAGATGAGAAGGTGAAAGAGCAGAATGAAAAAGAACAAGAAGAGGAAGCTGATGTTAGTGTAGTAGTTGATGTAAATACTGCAAACCAGGCATCAGAACATCCATTCAACTTTTTGAATGAATTTGCTTCTAAGATTTAGTGTTATGTGGATTGTGGGAAAACAAAAACTAAAGTGAATTACGTATGCAAGTGTATGAAGAGCAAAAAAAAGCAGAATGCAAGAAATGCCAAAATTGCATCAAGTGGCGGCCGACTATTGTTTTCTGAAATATAAATCAATGAAAGGGTTAATATTATTCTTTAACTTTTAGCATTGTTTTATTTACTTTATTTCAAATTCCTTTTACTTTATAAATTTTAATAAAACAAGTTGTTTTTGTGTAATTATACAGTGAACAACTTCTTACACTTGAACCTCCACTTGTAATACCAAGGGATGATATGATAACTTTAGCACCAATAGTCCCAAATCAATTGATAAATTCAAGCATTGTTAAAGCATGGTAATTTTTTAATGATTAAATCAAGATTGACGGCCAGACCATCATGCTTTTTCTTTGGAATTGACCACAATGTAAGTGATGCATTGAATAAAGAATAGAATACATACAGAATATATACTGAATACATAATGTGTTTTGTGTTTTCATGAATATGCAAAGACCACTGGAGATTTCTCTCGCATCCCAGAAAACTTCTCAAAAGGTTAAAGATCGCTCTCCTAAATCAGTTTTAGCTTAATTAAACCAAGCTTGGTTAGATTGGCTCCAATTGTGCTATGCAAAACACCAGTTTATGGAGGTTGATTTGGTAAGTTTTTTCTAATGTAGTATAAATCTAATTTCAAAAAAAAAAAATAAATAAAAAATAACAAATACAATTATAATCTGAGGTGTTTATCCCAATTCTGTTGAATATCCATTATAATGTGGTGGTGGTGAACATGTTTAAAGGAAGCATCCAGTACTTGGATAACATAATTTATGAAACAACTGATATGGATTACTATAAAAATGTTGCATCTACTGTGGTATGATTATGTACTTAATCTAAAATCTATATTAAAAGTAAATAGCATTCTATTTTTATTATTAAGTATGAATATTTTTAAAGTTAATGATTTACATGTAATAGTAAATAATAATACTTCTAAAGTAAATAAAATGATTTAATTTCAATTATCTCAGGTAGAAGAAATGTCAGAGTTAATGAACAAACTACAGCATCCAAAAGCTGAAGATATAATGTCTTATGAGTTTGACAATGTATCATTTCCTTGGAAATCAACAAAACAAACACTTGATTGTGGTGTTTTCTGTATGTTACATATGTTGTGCTTTAATGGGGAATTGTTTAATGGAGACTTAGGGTTGGCGAACAGAAGGAAGTTGTATCGTGCAAAAATATGTGCTTCCCTTGTTCTGTCAGACATCAATTCAAATATAGATGCCATTGTAGATAAAGTTTCAAAGTTCAAAGTAAGCAAAAAACTTGTTGTGGATGCTGAGTTTTTAGAGTTGAAGGAAATGATATATGTGTTAGATTTCCTAAAAGAAAACTAGGACTGTGTGGAAAACATGAGCTTGCAATTTAACCAAGTGATTGACTATGTAGCTATTAATGATTACAACTTGGTAAACAAAAGGTATGTAATTATTGCAAAATTTTTATTTTTTCGTGTTTGCAAATAAAATTATTCTAATGATAAACATATTACAGTGAAGTTGTAGGTTGGTTGGGTTAATCAATTGAAATAACAAGAGACGTTTGTAATTCATTACTGGATGAATGGAAAGTTACAAATTATTTGATCACTGCTTGGGCTTTCCACCTCAACTGTTACGAAAAAATGAGAGAAAGGCCTGAGAATCAGCTAGTCAGATTCTACTTTTGATTTGACCACATGGTAATTGATTCAAAAATATAGTAACACTATGGATTTGCCTTCACGTTTATAGTACAAAAATACAAGCTTTGTAAATGTGCAAGCTTAACTTGGAAAAAATTTGCAGGAAGCTTTAATTGTTTGTTTGAGAGCAAATGAGGAAAGGGGAGTGACCCAACTTCAAAAGACATGGGAAGAATGGACAAAACTCAAGCATTGGACTTGGATGCAGCTGAATGTGTAAGTTAAAGAAAACTTTTTTAATGTAACTAAAATATTCTTTAAAGTTAAAGTAGATATCTTAAAAGTAAATAAACAATTCTTTAAATCTAAAGATTAAATAATTTGGTTTGCAAGTATTTTTTCCTTTGAAGAAGGAAGATCATTATTTCGTTGTTGTCATAAACTTCAGAAATGAAAAGTTGACCAATTGGACAACACAGAGTACGACGATATAGAGGAATGGGAATCAATCAAGAGTTTTATTAAGGGTACAGTAAGCATAATAATATAAGTTAAATTGTTGGCATTATATTGTATTTCAATGTTATCTAATAACAATATATATGTTGCAGGTAAATCAAATTAAAAAACTTTTGAAGAAAAGAAAGTATCTAAAGGCAGAAGAAATGCTGAACTACAATGTTAGATTAATAGAACTTCCATCCCAAAAAGTAAGGCAAGACAATTACTCTGGAAGCTATCTATTACTGCACATTAAGGTTTATGATGGTGTGGATGGCTTGGGACTGGGATCTATCCAACATGTGAGTTGATATTTCTGTTTTTATAAGTTTAAATATTCATTTATGCATTGTCTTAAGTTTTTGAGCGTTTTGTTTATCTTTGGTTTATTTCCAAGAATTTGAATGATTAAAACACCATCATATAAAAACACTACTTCTAATAATTCTCAATGAAGAAAACCAAATGCAAACCAAACTACTTACAAATATTGAAGAATGGGAGTTAAAGAAAAAGAAAATAATATAAGAATGATGTTTATTTTTTTATTCATATAAAATATAATAATTTTTGTTTTTTTACAAACTACAACTAACTCTTTAAATTCATTAATATTTTAGGAGGCAGAACAAAACAAAACTAAGAAAGAGAAGAACAAGGAATAGATAGAAATGGTGGTGGTAAGAAGAAGATTTGGACAGCATAGATGTATAGTTTTTAATATTAGTGTCTAGGATTAGTATGATGTTTATATTATTGATTGAGTTTTGTGGTGTCTACAAGATTTATATGATGATTGTATATATATATATATATATATATATATATATATATATATATATATATATATATATATATATGTGTGCGTGCGTGCGTACGTGTGTAATTTCTTAGTATAGAAAATTTTGTTTATATATGTGCATATAAGTTAAAAAGTACACAAAACCTTTTTGAAAATAAACAAAATATATCCTAAAGTAAAAGGATTATCTATTAAAGTAATATATATTTTTATTTTCTTTATTGAGTATTCTTATATTGCAAAAAAAATATTTGTTAATATATTTGCATATAAATTAAAAAGTAAAAAAAAGTTTTGAAAAGTAAATGAAATATCTATTAAAGTAAAAGGATTATATATTAAAGTAAAAGGATTATCTATTAAAGTAATGCATAAAAATGAGAATAATATTTATGTTGTGTATCTATTTTGGTTCACTCACTATCATATGGGGTAAATTTTTATTAAATAAAAATGTATGTTTGAAAATATCTATTACATGTAAAGTATAAGAAATATCTTTAAAAGTTAAAAAAAATTATTAAAAGTAAACAAAAATTATTTGCACTACGTGTAAAATAAATTATACATAAATGAGGTGTAAAATAAATTATACATAAAGTGATTGTAACATAACTTTGTGATGAATGTATAACTTTGGAAATTGAAGAATTCTTTAACAGTGGATGCAAAGCTCACAAACAACATCAAACACCTTCCATTTAGGGTTAACCCATGCCCTTAATTTGAAGATGGCGGGGTTAGGGTTTGTTGTGATGGCAGTGGTTTTGGGCATGATGTTGGTGGTGAAGGACATGGTGTTTGTTATAGTGTTGCAATTCATCCACCATTGATGATGGGAAAGGTTGGAGAAGATAAGGAAGGTTGAAGGAGGAGGGAAGGGTTTAGTCAACCACAAAAAAGAATAAAAAATTTATAAAGTTGCTATTATTTACCATTTTGAGAAACTGGGGTAAGCTCATATAAAACTAAGGACAAATATTAAATTCTATTACATGAAAAGTAAAAACAAAAGAAATATCTTTAAAACCTAAAAACAATTTGTTAAAAGTAAACAAAAATTATTTGCACTAACTTTGAGATGTAAAATAAATTATACATAAAGTGATTGTAACATAACTTTGAGATGAATGTATATAAATAAGGACAAATTAGAAATTCTATTACGCAATTCTATTATATACAAAATAATATTAAAAAAAAAAACTAAATGAACAGTATTAAAGTAAATGAAATGTATTACAAAGTTCAAAAGAAATTGCTTAAAGTAATTGTAGTGAATAGTATTATAATAAAAAAAATAAAAAAAAGTATTACAAAAAAGTAAATATTTTAAGAACTTCAAGGCATATTTAACATCAACTGCATCAATCTAATAATGAAGCTTGCCTATCCTAGATGAACCTGAAATAAATTAACAAAAAGTACATAAGTTGTAATAAATTAAACAAAGATAAAATAAAAGTAAATAAAACAATGTTAAAAGTAACATACCTGAGAAACTACATATTTGGATAGTTTCTACTATCATGAGAAACACCAGATTTCCCACAAGCTCTGCAAGTTCTTCCTTTTTTTTTGCTTTTTACTTCAACAGCTACCTCTTTGGCACTATTCAAGCGTTTCGAACTTCTAGCGGACCCTTTGTCGAGGCATTGTTCCGAGGCAAGATATCTACATCAAAAATATTAGATCTAACAAAGAGCTGAATATCAGCCTCTTTGCCTTCTTTGAAACTTACACCTGACATTCAAAAACTATAAGTTGTAGTAAAGTAAATAAAACTAAATAAAAGTAAATAAAACAAAGTTAAAAGTAACATACCTTCACCATTGTTCTCTTTCATGAGCTCTTCCTCAAATGAACACAATTACTTAACAAAATCAAACATATCATCCTCACAACCCTCTGCTAGACTAACACAAGAGAACATTTTTGACCACACATCAGAGATTGGTTGCTTCTTTTTGTTGAAGTTAGAAGCCTC